TCCACAGCTCAGCTCCATGACTAATCAATGCTCAGCGCTGAGCTGCTGTGCTTGATCTGGTGGGACATCTGCCTTCATGCCTGGAGAGGGGGCAGCCAATCCCAGGGTCTCCAGAGAGCATGACATTTGGATGTTCTGTAGCCCACCATCCCTGGTGACTCGCTGATCCAATCGACTCTGATTTACAAATAAAACAAGGACGTTGGCCTTTCCCTCTCCCCACTTGGCCTGCGTTTCCAGCTCTGTTTGATGACGATCATGCTCTTGTCTGCACCAAGGAGTCCATAAAAGCTTCTCAGGAGGCACAAAGGAGAAGGATGAACCCAAGAGTAGGAGGAGTCCAGCTGGTGGAAGCCTGGTGTAGTAGTCTGTTGATCAAGGGAGTGAGTGCACAGCCAAGAAACCACTGCATGCTGGGCATGCACAACATCCCACACAATCCTGACATTATTTCTACAAGGCAGGGCTGACAGTGTCATTTTACACATGAGAAAACTGGAGATTCGTCTAGACTTGGTCTCCCAGTTGGCCGGTAGAATATCTGGAATTCAAATCAGGTCCCAGTTTCATTCTCTTGTCTCTTAACCATGGGGTGGGGAAGTGGAGGCGGGGCACAAAGGCAAGAGCAGTCCAAAGTCAAGTGAGAGGTATCCCAGCTTATCCATCTCTTCCCTAGAGGATCTATTTTTCAGCCAAAGCCATTTTCCAACAAAGTCCTTATCACTAAGTAAATGCCCACCTCCATCCTCCCCTGCCCACCAAGAAGGCTAGTTGCTGAGAGCTCATGTCATTGAGCAGCATCCTCCAGAATTCCCCTTCTCTCTCTTGTAAGTCCTTGATTTTATGAGGTCCTTTATAGGACTCCATCTCCCTTGCCCTGCAGGCTCCCACGAGTACACTCAGTCTTACATCTATTGATGGTCTGTCACCCTGGACCATACACATCCTGAGGATGATGGAAAGGAAGGACAGGGAGTGGTCATGAGCTAGATTCCAGGGAAGTGGCTACCTCTATCTGAGCTGCCACAGACTAGCATGGCAGGGTACCCAGTTGGCAGCTTGGTTCAGAAATCCTGGCAGGACAGTTAAAGCATAGATCCTTGTGTCACACACTTGGATTTGCATATAGCATTTGTCCTGACCCTCTGAAGTATTAGACAAAACAGGATCTTCTCTGCCTTGGTCTGCTTGTCCATAGAATTGGAATAGAGCATCAGAGTCCCAGAGGAGATTCAACGAGCTAAAATTCACACTATTTCAGAACAGCCCTCTGGTACATAGTGAGGATTAAACTATATATATATATATATATATACACACACACACACACACACACACACACATACATATATATACATATATGTCCCATATATATATACACACACACATATATATCCAATATATATATATATATATATATATATATATATATATATGGCTTAGGTTTTATTTTCGGTAATGGTATTGAATCCTTCCAAAATGTTTTGAGTCCATTTTCCTGCCATGGAAGATATGGCACAAAAAGAAACCCACTTCATACTAAAAGTAGGGCTGGCAAACAATGCTCTGTGGGGTCCAGGTTTAATTAACATCTTTGTGAGAATTTCAAACCCTATTATTCACTTTTTGGACATAGGAGATATACAGGGAAGTGGTACATCTGGGGTTTTAGAAAACATCAGAACTTAAAAATTCAGTGTTCCCTGGATAGTGGGCATGCTCTTGCTGTCCAAGAGGGGTGGTCTTGAGAGACAACAAGCATGCTAAGTAGGAAATGACAGCTTAGCATCCATCTCAGGGTTGACCTGTCATTCTCTGCCCATTTGTCTCTCTCCTCTCTTCCATAGCTTGTTGAGCAAGACTTCAGTCATCAGCTAGTGTATCTTTGGAAATGAGGCTACCAAGCTTGAACAAGAGGACCAAATTTCCTATCCACAATGAGAAGCCAGTCACCAGTCTGTCACTTAAGACCATCCTCAGAGTGTTACCCACTGATTTCACATACACACACACACACACACACAGTTTCTGAATGCCTTTGGCTTTCCCAAAGAAATTTTGCCCTTTTTTAAGATTATAAGCAATCCCAACATAGACTCTTTAGAAAGAATGGGCCCAAAGTCAGAATAGATCCACTTGTATTAACAGGGAATATATGACTGGTTTTGTCCCCTGGCATCCCACTTGGGATCAGGGATTGCTCATTTAAACTCATTTTACAGATTAGAAAATGCTGGCTAAGGATTTCTCCAGATAGCAAGCAACCCCAAAGCTTTGTTCCTCTGTCAGTAAAGGAGGCAGTCTTATGCAAGCACCTGGGGTCCAAGGCTAGAAACCAGAGACGTATGCAAGTAAGCATGACCTTACCTTCTCCCCACACACTCAAAAGACCCTTCAGCATGGAGTCAAGGCACAGCAGGTAGACAATCAGATCCTGAGTTCCAGGGCCCAGCAGGCCCAGAACTGGACAGCAGAAGCAGGGCTCCTGGGTTGGTATCTCAGTGAGCAGTGGAGGCATGATGGGAATCTAGGGATGGCAAAGTGGCCACCCTGGCAGGCTCCTGGCTGGCTAGCATCCAGGTCTGATGGGGAGAGCAGGGCTCAGCTAGGGCATGTGTATCCCAAGCAGGACTTATTTCCTGGAAGGACCAAGTAACAGCTCAGAAATGGCCCCAGTTTCCCAGAATTGGGAAACCTGTGTTACCACATGTGTTACAAGGTGGGGCTCTGGGAACTAAGCTGATGCTCTTCTGGCTGGTCACATTAGGCAGAGGCCTGGCTACAAGGACCACTGCCAGTTCAGCATGGGATCAGCAGCTTTGCTCATTTAATGTCCAGCACACAGAGCTCCTGAGGGACCATCTCAATGCCCCACTGCAGGCCTCCTCTAGACATTTGCCCTACCCCAGGCGGCCCTCTCTGCATGGGGGGAAGATGGCTATAAAGGCAACAATCAGGTGTAAAGTCGATGTCTGGGCTGTCAGCTGAGCATCTCTGCACGAGCCAAAAGCTCCCCCAACAAGAGCAGAAATACTGCTGGTTGGTCTCAGATCTACCAAGGTCCTGCAGCTGAGGCCTTGGGCTGAAACTATCTTGCACACAGGTATGTGCTCCAGATTGGAAGTGTCCTGGGGCTCACGGCAAAGAAAGCTAACTCCACACACGTGCCTGAGCGAGGCATGTGCACAGGGACCTATATTGCATGTGGCTGCACTTTCCCCAAATAACTTCAACTCAGAACCTCTCTCCATCTGCTCCTGAGTCCTTCCCCGTCCCCTGCCCTTGTCTGCCGCCCAGTCTCAATCTCAGTAACTATATCCAAACGTCCTAATGTTACTAAGTCATTCACATCCCTTTAGCAACTGACATTAACATTTAACTCTTCTTAGCTTCATATACTTTGAGAGGAACACAGAGGACAGGAATTATCTCATCCAAAGGAATGAATACTTAATGGTAAAATGTCAGGCATAGAGATAGCCATGTGCTTGTATGAACAAGGAGAAGTAAAGCTACCCAGAATTCACTCCACTTTCAAAAGGGTGCCTCAGTTTCCTTATGTGACATCTTATCTCCCTTCATCTGTATCCCAAGGACTTACTTCCCACTAGGAATACCAATAATGGCATGACCTCCTTCTCTCCCACCTAAGGCCCAGCTGAGCCAACTGGGCAACAGTTGGTAGCAATTTGCCACTGCGGCAACAGCACAATGCTTCTTTCAACCCTCTGCTTCCTGTCCTTCGTCTGTCCTCTGCTTCCTGTCCCTGTCTCCCCAGTCCTCCTACCAATTCTGAAGATACCTTCTCCCAGAGCTTTTCAGTAAGTCATGTCTAATCTAACCAGTCTTTGCTGTTTGCACAGCAGATGCCACACCTGTCTCTGCTTACAATAAAGCAACAGTAGCTGGAGGAAAGATGGTTGGCTCCTTAACCTCCCCCCAGGCAAAGGTCGAACACAGCACACCAGTGTCACCACCAGGAAATCAGAGCCATCTGAGGAGAACCATGATCAAGAGGCTGAAAAATGACCTCTGGTCATCTGATGGAGACAGGATAGAATGACATGCAGCTCTGGGAGCATGGGCCAGCCCTCTCTTCTCCCTCTTGCCGCCTGCACACATCCATGCAAAGACATGAACAGACACATTCACATAGCTCAACACATGCTCACACACTCTGCCTCTAGCCACCCCATGGAGAGTCTATGCTGGGGGGCCCAGCACCTGAGTGAGGGCTGCATGGCACATGAGAAAGATGGGAGACAAGAGTAGAGAGACAGATAATGCTTGCTCCTTTGGTCTCCAAACCCCAAATGGTCACAGTCGTCTTCCTTCTGTGGTGCCTTTCTCATCACACATCATGTAGACCTAGATCTCACAAGGCCATCCACTCCGCTCTGTATGTTAGATGAGCAGGGCATCCCAGGCCAAGAACAAAACCATACCCAAGATGCCAGGCTGTCTCTCCCTCTACCCTTCCATACTCCAACCACCATCTGCACCTTCATTTTCTTCCAATCTCCAACCAACAGGCATATATCAGTCAGTACATCTTCTACAGGAGGGACCTACAATCATCACACACACTGGGACATATGAGCAAGACACGTGCACGCACACGTGTACACACACACACACACACACACACACACACACACACACAGTGTGCATATAGAAGCTCCAACAGAAGCTCCAGATAAGCACCCAACAAGTGTCGTGAACAAACCCAGCAAAGGCACATGAAGCTGCGTGTCAGTGGCTCACACCTGTAATCCTAGCTACTCACGAGGCTGAGATCTGAGGATCACGGTTCAAAGCCAGCCCAAGCAGGAAAGTCCGTGAGACTACCAGAAAACCAGAAGTGGCGCTGTGGCTTGAGTGGTAGAGTGCTGTCCTTAAGCTGAAGAGCTGAGGGACAGCGTCCAGGCCGAGTTCAAGCACCACAACCAACACACACACATACAAACAAAAAAGAAAGGTACACGAGAGTGAGGCAGAAGGCAAGTCTCTTCCTAGTACGTTTATTCGAGCCTGGTTAAGCGTGACTGTGGATCAGTCCTTGGCCACAGCTGTCATCCCAACCGGTGCAGGGCTCATGGGAGTCCGTTTCCTTTGTTCCCATTATAGACAACATTATTAAAAAAAATAAACTTTACAATAATACATCTCCGCTCATCTGTAGGGTATTATTTCCATAGTTTTGTTTCTTAAAAAAAGGAAAGAGAAAAAGCACAGGATATATGTATATGGATGTGTATATACACATACATTGAGAAAGGAGTTCCATATGTACAGACAGACAGTTGACATTGTCTTGGAAATGAGGAAAGAGAAAGTGGAGATGAAGAAAGGAGAGGAGAGAGAACTGAGCTCTGCGAGATCAGAGAAGGTGGTTGCCACACATCCAGCTGTGGTCTCCTCCACCCCTTCAATGGTCCCTTCTGCCCAAAGGGAGACCCGCCAAATGGACCCACAATAAACAAAAGAAAAGCCCACAGATCATCACTTCTCTTTGACTTCAAAATTCCTGCCATCAGGAAGAGAGACACACAGCATCCACGGCTTGCGTCCTCCCTGTAGGAATTCTCCCAGATGGGCTCCTCCTGGAGCTGTCCCAGCCCCCATCACCCTATAGTCTGGTCCAGGGGCCCAGCCCAGGTGTGGGATCTCCCACACCAGACACAGACCCACCCAGACACCTGAGGGCAGAGGGGAGGCTAAATTATCATCTTGGAAGCCAAGAGGAAAGGCTGGCATGGCCTGGTTGGCCCTGCTTCCAAGGTGATCAATGCCCTCTGCTAGACCCCCAACAGGCCCTGAGGGTGGGCGGCTCCATGGCAGCTGCGGTTTTCCCGTACCCAGCCTACACTGGGCACGGTGCAAGTCCCACCCTAGCAGGGGGCTGGTCTGGGCCTCTTATATCAGAAGGGTCCAGAGAGAAAAAAGAACCAGACGACATGAAGGGAATTTCCACAGCCTTGTGCTCTCATCAGCACTGGGTGTCCCTGGCCAGGGGACCTCAGGGCTGGCTCTCAGGCTGCCCACCATCTTGTCTGTTTGGTTTAGAAAAACTTCTCCAGAGAAGAAAGCTGGGAGGAGACAGATTCAGAGACAAGGTGGGAAAAAGAACTTTTTTTTTTTCCTTTTTTCTTTTTTCTTTTTTTTTTTTCTTTTTTTGCAAAGGGGGTTGTGTGGGGAGGTGTGGGTTTGTTTCCATGTTGTTAGGCGGGAGTTCTCGTCTGTGGAGAGCGTAGAAATCTTGTGCCGTGGTTCCCCCGGCCTACAAGGCCAATGTCAGCATCAGGAGGAGGAGTGCAGTCAAGGCAGCCGATGGTCTGGCTCTGCTGGGGCCTGAGTTAGGTTTGACCACCTTTTTACTCCCCGGCATGATGTTTGTAGTGAGCTGAGTCCACGGCAGAAGGACAGACAGACAGAGAATAACAACAACAACAACAGGGGAGGGGGAAAAGCTGTCAGCAGGGCTGGGTTCAGGCAAAGAAAAGGACAAGGAACCCATTTCTACCCTCACCACCTCTGATCGCCCAAAGATCTTTCCTCCTTTGCCTCCTGAGGGTACAGTCAGGCTTCCAAAGTTCTGGGCAGGGCAAGAGCAAAGTTGATGCTCTTGGGTTTGGGGATTGTTTTGTTTTTCTGGCAGTTGTCTCCATCACACAGGCTGCTCCTCCCTGAATCAGGGCTGAGGGTGTATCATCCAATGAGCAGGGAGATGGTAGAAGGTATTAAGGAGAGGAAGGAAGCCCCAAGGTCCTCAAACCCCTTGAGATGGGAATTGAAGAAGCCACATCCTCCTTCTCTCTAATGTTGCTGGGGTCTCCTCCTACACATCTGAATACGATTGTCTCTCCTGAAGAATCTTATACTGCTTTTTCCTGTCACCTAACATCATGTTGGGCCTGTAAGTCACGCACACATTTCCTGTGCAGGGACTGTGTTTTTCCCATAGGGAGGGGAAAAAACATCACGTGTAAAAATCACACTAAAGCAGGTGCTCACTATGTTTGTCTGAGAGACTAAGGAAAGTGGAGGAGGGCCTCTGATCAGAGCAGCCACTTCTGTCCCGCATGAGACAACCACGGATTCTGGCTGTAGCCTTTACACTCCCCCATGCCAACTGCAGAAGAGGGGGTGTCCACTCTGGCCCAACCTGTGCAATGAGATTCAAAGCCCCCTGTGGGCAAGTCTCCTACACCCACCCCCTGATCTGCCCCTACTCACCTCTGTGAAGCACATGCTCAACTCTTTGGAGTTGTTGACCTTCAGCCCTTGCTCCTGTGGAGAGAAGGCATGTGTGAGGCTAGATCACCAGCCGTTTGGGAGCCAGGCTTTGTTCCAGGGACTCACGTAAGACCCTGCCAACCTCTGCTGGCACTGTTACACACAGAGTATGTGAGAGTCCCTTGCAGCAATGTACACCCCTGTCCCTTCTGAAACCCTCTGTGTGGTTAGATTCTGGCCTCTCTGGGCTCATGGAGAACAAAGTTTTCAACTCTGCTCATGAGTTTGCAGCATTCTGTAGTCACCACTCATCCACATAGCTGTCTACCACTCAGAGTTCTTCAGAGGCAAGAACCATGTCTTCTATGCCTTGCACTGAACAGTGTTTGGCTCATAACAGCAACTCAATTAATGTTTTACTAGATGCATGCATGCAAGAACGAGTAAATGAATGAATGCCACGAATCAGAAACAGCTTCCGAATGCCAGCTCATTATTTGCCATGGCTTCTGGAAAGATATGCAGGAAAAGATCATGAGACCTCATTTGAGCTTAGGAGGCTGAGGGTGGAGGTGATTGATTAGTGATGTCTGCCACTGGCGCATGTCAGGTGGACATCTAGCAACTGCACCTGGCCATTTTCATCACAAACAGATGTACAGTACTCAAGCACTCTGTCAACAAGATGAGCAGTGAAAAAGAAAGGCTGCCTGGGTGATCATTCAGGATTCTCTGCCCTGGCATAACCATTTGGAGGCAGGACCATAGGGTATATATTCAATTAACTCCCATGAGAACCAATAAGGACATGATGCTTCCATCCTAGATACAAATGGTTAGTTCCCAAAGCATTTTTTGGGTAGCTCTGGCCATCAGAAACAACTGGGAAGCCCAAGAAATTATGTCTAACTCACAGATCTTAGCCAGAGGTATCAATAATCCCTTGGATACCATAGGCAATCTACCACCCAGGGCATCTGGTCAGCTAAACAAGGCCCAGCTGTCACCCAGAGACCTTGGCCAAGAGTAGAGTCCCTGCCAATAGCAGAGATGAGATTGTGCTGATTATTAAGATAGTAGGAATGGAACCAGGCCATACCCAGAGGGACACTGTTTGCCAACACAGTACCAGTATCTCCCAGATGCCAAGATATGACCCAGGCAACCCACCAACTGCTTGTGTGTACTAAATTCTACTTCTCAGATGTGTCACTGCTCTACTCAGCTGTGGGAGACCACTTCAGGGAACAGAACATACCCACACCACTGTAGGGGCCTTGCGATGGTCACTCTTTCTACCTGCCCTTTCCTGCCCCTTCGTCAGTCCTCAGTCACTCATATGTGCTGTCACTTTCTACTCTAGCTGTCAGGTTCCCTGGGGCCGATCTCACCTCCATGGTGATTGCTAAGTACAAGTCTGGGTGGAATCATACAGGCAGACAGCACTATGGGACCCGAAGTCCTTACTCCACTCAAAGCCATTCTGTTTTTGTTCATTTTATATATTGGAGCTGTGCATGAAATTATTTTTTTACTAATCTGCTTTTAAAAAGTAAGATTTCAGGGCTGGAAACGTGGCTTGGTGGTAGAGTGCTTGCCTAGCATACATGAAGCCCTGGTTTCGATTCCTCAGGACATAAACAGAAGAAGCCAGAAATAGTGCTGTGGCTCCAAGTGGTAGAGTGCTATCCTTGAACAAAAAGAAGCTCAGGGACAGTGCCCAGGCCCCGTGCTCAAGCCCCAGGACTGGCAAACAATAACAACAACAGTAATAATAATATTTTAAGAATACAACAAATCCAACTGACCTCTGAGGTGGGGCAGAACAACACCTAGGATTGTGGATGCCAGTTCCTAGGCAACCCTGAACCCCTCAAAGACCTAGACGTGGCTGGCGCAAGTGGAGTTCTACCCCGGGGTGTGCCTACCCAGAGGATCTGGCCAACGCCCACAGCCCTGAGTCTCTTTTCCCAGCTCAGCTAATGTGTGTGAAAATCATATCTGAATACTGATGCTATCAGAGGACCTATGTGCAAACATTACATGGAACACACAAGAGGAAGAGTTTTGAACCTGAGAACACTGGCACCAGCAGGCCCCAGGGCTGAGCAGCCTCGCTGCTGGAATGCACTAGCCATCCTCACTCTGCCTGGAAGAGTTTCCCACAAGTGCTGCAGATTTGGTTATAGATTCTGGCTGCACAGACCCAGCCCAAACTTCCATTTTCTAGACCACAGAGTCCTATATCTTTTGGTGTCCAAAAGACAGCTCCTTGGGTCAAGGTAACCCCTGAATAGAACAAGAAGCTTAGGGTCTTAAGAGACCAGAGGCCTGAGCCCAATTCTACCAATGGACCAGAACACGTCTATTGAGCCTGCTCCCTGAGATGCTGCACATGGCCCGGCAAAGTACCCGCCTACCTAAGCATTCCCTGTTCATTGCAAAAAGCACAAATCTGCACTAGGGAAAGATAGCTCCACACCCCAAGCAGTGCCTCTGTGCAGCTGGCTGTTGATAAGATGCCACCCAGGTGAGCCAGCAACCCAGGGCCTGAAAGTGGTACCTGAGCTCAGAGCAGCTTCCTGCTCCCTCCCTGGACTCCTCCGGCCTTTGCACAGCAGATAACCGCCCAGAAGAAAGGGCTTTGGAAACCACCCCCGCCCACACAGGGCAAGCCGGGCACTGGTGGCTCATGCCTGTCATTCAAGCTACTCAGGAAGCTAAGATCTGAGGATTACAGTTCAAAGCCAGCCCAGGCAGGAAAGACCATAGACCCTTATCTCCAATAAACCACTAGAAAACCAGAAGCAGTGCTGTGGCTCAAGCGGTAGAGCACTCACTTTGAGCTGAAGAGCTGAGGGACAGCGCTCAAACCCAGTGTTCAAGCCCCACGACCGACAAAAGAAAACAAAACACAGGGCAGACAGGGAAAGTGTGGTGAACCTCCCACAACAGCCACTCTAAGGCCCCTTTCCAAGTCTTATGATATCATCTAATGCCAAAATCTTTCCTGCACCTGTGTAGAGCAGTCCATATCTGATGCTTATTTCACCATTTGACCCTCAACAAGATAATAAGGACCATAAAACCAAGGACCTCAGTCACCAAGGTACTCGTCACATCTCACATAAGACCTGGCACTGGGTTTCTAACCCACAGTGGATGAATAGATGAGTGGGCAGATGACAGAAGGGAGAGAAACAGGGAAGGAAAGAGAAGAGAGGGAGGGCAAGAGGGAGAAAGGAAAATAAGAGGGAAGGGCGGAAGTAAGACAGATGAACATTAGTAACATTAAAGCTAAACATAGGACTGAAATTATATCCCCCACCAATCAGCTCTGTGATATTGGGTGTGTCAAGCAAGCCCCCTAGGTCAGTTTCCGGACCATGAAAGTGCATTATGTGAGAGTTCAATTTGATGGTCAAGAATCTATTGACATGCGTCCTGCTAGTTGGCAGATAGCTGAGAAATGACAATCACTACACTTCTCTCGTGCCCCACTCCAAGTATCTAGAACATCACTGCAGGGTAACAGGTGCTTCATACTCGGAAGATGGATGCCTAAATGGATGAACAGGTTAGAAGCAACCTCCACGAGCTCCTCCCTGCCTCTTGAGATCCTTAGCTAACAGAAGGACCAACAGTACTCCCTCTGGAGTCCTGGTTTATGGTTCTTCACACCGTTTCATGGTACCTTTCCACGCTTTCACGCTTCAGAACCACAAGCCCTCACCTGGACAGATGTGCAAGTGGTGATGACACTGGTCCCCAGGCTGGTGCTGTCACTGAGGTCATCTGGCAAAGAAGGAGTCTTCTCCACCCGAGGGGTCTGGGTGGCCTGTGATGAGGGGCTTTTGGGGGACACATTCACATCTGTGCCATTGCCAAAGGCCTGGATGGCATTCCCTGGGTGGAAGAGGACAGATAAATGCAGAAAAATCAGGATCCACATCCATCACTGCTGCCCAGCTCCCACCGTGACCACTGCTGTCCTTGGATTAGCCTAGTAGGCGATGAGGCCAAGGCAATGCACATAGTGAACACTGTAGCAGAGGAAAGGAAGTAAAGAAGAAGTGGCAATCATCGGAGTCTAGAGAGAGGGGGTAGCAAGAGTGGCAAGAGCATCTTCTCAACAATCTATGCCACAAACCCCTCCTGTGAACCTCCCTAGCCATAGGATCTTCTTCCTCCTCTACCATCTCAGATTCCAACCAGTCCTCCTCCCTCTCCACACGCTATGCTTCCCCATGGCAGCCTCCCCATCCACGCTATCAATAAGGATAACTAATGGGACATCTTAGACAAAGCTCTATCCCTAATACTCACCCCTACACCCAACTGTCTAGAAAAATGTGTACCCCAGGTCCTCAATGCACTCTGAAGTCCTCATGTCCACACCTGAGTTGGGCATCTCTTCCTGCCACTGGCAGTGCTTCTCTCCCCCTTGTCACCAGTCTTGAAGAAGCCATCTCTATTTGCCTGAAACCTATGGGTTCACCCTAGACACTCACTGGCAGTCACCTGGGCCCACGACTGAAAGATCTCCTCAGCCCATCTCCTGTCACCACCTCCTCCCCTCCTGCTCCGGGTACCAGTCAGTCATGACTGGTCATGTCCTCTCCTGTGGACACCTACAACAGCCTTCCTATGGGTCCCTCCACATTGGGACAACCATCACTCATACCTTGAATCCCAATAACCCCCATAAGGAGGTCTACCTGTCCAGACAACTGTCACCAGGTCATCTAAGAGGCTACGGTAGCAAGGCGGCTCAGTGCTGAGCAGGCTCCCCACTACTGTTTCCTGAAATGAGTAGATCAATAAGTGCACCCTGCCTCTTCAAATGACTGAGGGCCTGCTGGTTATCAAGGGCCTCACAGAAACCTCAGGGCCTCCTCACTCCTGCTGACTTGGGCACCCTTACCCCAGGCTCTAAAGAACCCTGCACAATTAAGGAGAAATACAAAGGTAAGAATCTGGTGAAGCAGGTAAATCTGTCTGAAGTGCTTTGTGTATGTGGGGGGGGGGATCACAGTGATAGGTGGGGACCAGTGGTTCCCGCCTATAATCCTAGCTACTCAGAAGGCTGAGATCTGAGGATCATGGGTCAAAGCCAACCCGGGCAGGAAAATCCCTGAGAATCTTCTCCAATGAACCACCAGAAAACTAGAAATGATGTTGTGGCTCAAAGTGGCAGAGTGCTAGCCTTGAGCACAAAGAGCTCAGGGACAGTGCCCAGGCCCTGAGCTCAAGCCCATAACCAACAACGACAACAATGATAAAAATCACAGTGATACTCTCATACTACAAAAATGCCTGCTAATTCAAAATTAAAATGGTTTTTTTAATGGAAGAAAATAACTCCACCCTAGGGACTGTTCATTTTGTACTGGGATCACAGACAGCTTCTGTTTATTTCTATCCAGCTTTACATTCAATGATAAACACTAAAATCTGTATCCGAACTCCCAGGGTCATATAGAAAGGAAAGGAAAAAGATAGATGGACAAATGGATGGAAAGAAAAGAAAGGAGGGAAGAGGTGTTGGGGTGGCATGCTCAGTAGGAGGTGTCCAAGTCCCAAGATGGAGGGAGAGCAAGCTGTGGGCTCCCGCTCTCTGCAACTATTCGATTAGGAGTTGGATGACTAGAAGAGAAAGTCACCCATTCCCAGGTGAAACTCTCTAAGGGAAGAAAGGACAGATACCTGAGAGCCTTGTGAGACAGCTCAGTCTCTCAAGGAACCTGGCTGGAGCAGTCAGAACAGCAGATCAGAAGCCCTTAGTCTTGATTTGACATGGACTTGAGTGTTCTCGTGCAAATCTCCACAAGTACAAATCCCAGAGTCCCATGGTATAGATGCCCATGCATATTGCCAGCCCTCCCAATGGTAAAAGGAATGAATGGTCAGCTGCAGGCTCCCTCCCATGCAGTAGGGTTAGGGTGGGACATGAGGGGCCCCTGGGAAGAGAGAGAGAGCATGCCCAGACTTACGGAGGCACGGATTCTCAGTGAAATCCCTTAGGAACTTCTCACACTCCTCCTCCATGTTTCCGCTGCCCCGACAACTGCACCAAGGGGACACCACGATGCTGGTGGGGCTCGAGTCCACATAGTTGGGAGTCATATCAAACCCTACGCATGGAGGAAGAGCGGGAAAGAAGAAGAGCTGTAGGGGCTTCCCTTTGACCCCCAGGTGGATGTCTGCCCTGCCAGGTGCACCTGCACCCCCACTTCCAATGCTCATTCTGAGCATCCTAGGGAGCACACGATCAGCTAGGATAGAGGGACAGAGGGGCCAAAAATACAGACGACATGGAGCCCCTTGTCACCAGAAAGGACCCCAGGAGCTCTGCCCCAGTCTGCAGGCCTCTACATTCTCCTTCTCCACCATGAAAAGAGAATGTCTTCTAAAAACCAAAGCAATGAAGGCTCACGGATCAGATCCTGATGTCAACATTGACTAGTCAGATGAGCCTGGTCAAGGTATTCATTTTCTGTTAGTCTCAGTTTCTTCATCTGCTCAATGGAGATCCTAATACATCCCTCGTGATTGTTGCTGGCTAGAATCCAGTAAGACAGTCCATGGAAACGCAGTATCTAGAAGGTCATTTCTTACTTCTAAAGTCTGGTAAGGCCCCTGGGGCCATCCTCTCCCCAGTAATAAATAGCGAAGCTCCTTCCTCCATAAAGAACTAATCGCCCCCACTTGCTCCTCGAAGCTCTATCTGAATTCACCACAGAGAAGGCCAAGAGCAGGCTATCTCCACCACCAGCCCTGAGCTGAGCTGCAGCCCCCAAGCCCATGGGGTGAGGCAGCAAGAAGTCACTGTGAGCTCCAACAACACGAGGAGAACTTACCGATCATGCCAGCATAGGATCCCAGACACGCCTGGTAGTTGTCCTCAGGGCAGCCAGTCAGTGTTCGGTAGGAGGCTCGACAGTTGGCATGGAAGTCTGCCAGTCGGGACCTGGGGGAAAGACCCGAAGAAGGAAACAGGAGTTGAGCTTAGTGGCCTGATTACCTCCTCTGCCCCACTTGTGTGCAGGGCAGAGCTGCTCACCAGCTTCTCCCAACTAAAGGAAGTCAAGGAGAGGGAAAAATGGGGGAACCTAAGGCTTGGAGACTTCAAGCTGTGAGCAACTTGAGGACAGACTTCCTGGACAGGCAGGGGCACAGTGTACCTTAGGGAAAGTACAGAGTCAATCTGGCAAAGAGGGCTCAAAAATGAGCCACAGGAGTGGGCTCCAAACTGCTCTTGTCATCCAGAGAACTCAAAAGCTCCAGGCAGGGCCCTGGGTCCAGGGCCAGAGAGCCAGGCTCTCACTGTTGGCCACACTCAGGGATAACCAAATCCTGCCACATATCATTGTTCCTCGGGTAAAAGGGGTCCACTAATAACTGCAAAGCCACGCCTTACACTCTGTCTGAGGCTAGAAAGAGTTGGTATCCAGGAGGGTGGAAGGAAACTGTCTTTAGGGTAAGACCATTCAACCAGCATTCCTGCCTAGGCTCTTCTGCATCACCTCAAGCAAAGTCCATCCTGTTGCCCCTTCCAGAGTTCCCCAACCCCACCAGGAAGCCCCAGCCTTATCTCCCTCTGATACTGCAGCATGCCAGCACCCACTCTTCTCTATGGCCACCTGACACCACATTGTGACCACTTGAATATTGCACTGTGCCACTTTCCGCCATGAGCTACCGAAAGGCAGATGCTGTCAGACTGGGTGTGTCCCCAGCCTCCAGCCTCAGAGCTGGGTATGGAGGGTTACACAGAGTACCAGGTATCTAACAAATGTGGTAACCATCCCAGGAATCATCAGCTCCTACAGGTGGATGTCTTTGGCCGTGTGGCCTCAAGTATCACAGCAGCTGAGTCACAGTAGCTCCAAGAACTGGTGATGAGGCTTCACTCACTGGCATCTTCCCAGTGATGAACACAAAACAGAACCACAATAGCCATATACACAGTCCCTAGTGACTCCACTAAATGAACCAGCTGCTAGGAGAGCCAGAATCCCCTCACCCGCATCCTTGGCATACATTAAAGGACTTCACAAAGCCATCCAAAGATTCAGCTCTCCTAGCCCTCCCCCTTGTACTGTGTCCCATTTGAGAAAGGAGTAGATAGAGGTAAAAGGAGATGAGAGGTTTCAGGGATATAGGCTGAAAGCAGAGAGCACAGGCTTGTCGTGAAGGTACTCAGAGCCTGCTGAGTAGACCCTAACCTCGCCATTCAGGCCCTAGGCCATTAGAAGGTAGCTGAAGTACCCCACTTGAGATTCACTCCATGGTGGGCTGTGATTTACAGAGAAAAGGCCCTCTAGAAAGATCTGACCCCAAAAAAGGGCATACATCCCAGACCCCTGGAGCCAGTGAAGATCATTAACATCAAACTAAAAGTCAGGAATGGGAATTCTCTGTGCAACAGTGCCCTAGCTCAGTGGGCAACCATGAGCAACTGCCTTGCTTCTCAGGGACTCAGTTTCCTTACTGATCAAATAAATAAAAAGTGCTTGTAGGCTTACAGTTTATAGTATATACAGTACATTCACTGTTTAACATGATGAAAAGGTTCTGGAGATGGATGGGGGAGGTTGTACAACACTGTAAATGTACTTAGTGCCCCTGAGTTGTAGATTTCAAAATGGTTAGAATGCTGAATTGATGTTATTTTGCCATGATGATTTTTTAAATGGGGCCTTAACATCCATCTTTTATCATTTAATCCTCACAAAACCCCTGTGAAGTCTGACAAGCAGCTATTATTATCCCAATTGACAGACAACAAAGCTGAGCCTCAGAGAAATGAAATTAGCCTAAGATCACAGAGCTACTGAGCAGTGGAGTCAGGACTCCAATCCAAATCTCCAAGAGCAGGCAGATGCCCTTTCAGACAGGCTCCACTGCTCCTAGAAGGGAAGGGGTCCTTCCATCCTGGCCTCCTTCTGTGCCTCTGGGAAAGCAATGTCATCCTCCACAGCCTCTCTCCTATTACCAACAGGAAACGCAGCATCTCTAGTCTCACCCTCACCAATTGCAGGATAAGATTTGGCCTTGAACTTCAAAACCAGTATCTGCCCCTCTCTGCTACCCAGCAACTGAGAAGAGACCAAGAGACAGGAGAAGGAGGGATCATCTCTGTCCTCGTCCTGGATCTCCAGAGACCTGAGGAGTGGGCTGAGGGAGACAGAGACTCTTAATGGGATTTGGAAAGCAACAAAAGAGAAGAAAACCTGATGTGGGTTGAGTTGTGTCCTGGCCAAAAATAGGCTGAAGTCCTAATGTCTAAGAACATCTGTGAATGTTCCCTTGCTTAGAAATAGGGATTGAAGCTATAACCAAGTTAAGATCAGGTCACAGCAAATTCAAGTGAGCCCTAAATCCAATGATGCACATTCTTAGAGAAAGAGAAGAGACAGACCCACAAAGCAAAGACTAGGACACGACAGAGACAGAGACTAGAGTGAATGGGTCTCCAAGCCAAGGATTGCCAGCACCACCAGAAGATTGTTCTTTGAGCTCTCAGAGAGAACATGGCCTGCTGGCACCTCGACTTCAAATTCAGGGCCTTCTGCTTGCTGTACAAGCCCTCTAACATTTCAGCCACAATGTCAGTCTTTGGGGCACTAGTTATTTTTTTTCAGCTGGGTTACTCATTTTTTGCTCAGGCTGGCCTTGAACTTCAATCCTTCTGTCTATGGTTCCTTCGTAACTGGGATGCAAATGTTCCAATTATACCTGCCTTGTTGATTGAGGTATATGGTCTCGACAGTCTGGCCTCCAAACACAATCCTCCCCATCTCCACCTTCTCAGTAGCTAGAATACATGTGTTTTTAAGTATCATCTTCTGGTGTTTTGTTATAGCAGCCTAGGAAACACTACAACTTTTTTGAATACTTCTTCATTTGCTTTGTTCGAATCCCTGTCCAGAGAGCTAAAAGGATCAAGTCAGGCACCATCACTGAGTGGGACTACATACAACAGAGAAAATAGAGCCAAAACTTAGATCCTACAGAGCAGGAGCAGGGCAGCTGCAGCACAGGCGAAGTCTCTAGTTACCATCTTTAGGTCAAAAATGTATCTAAACAGCATTTGGCTGAAACACAGAAGCCCCTTCCAAAGCCCGTAGTCCTGCACAGGGCCAGCCTGCCATTTCCTGCCTCCCCAAAGCCTCTTCCAGTCCCTCCTCCAGAAAGCTCTCTTCACCTAGCCACCTAGAAAAGTAGCAAGGGCCTTGGAAGCCAGGTAATGGCACAGAATCCCTCAAGCAGACCCCAGAGTGAACTAGAGGGCAAACACAATCTCACTCCTCTGTGGCTATGGCCTACTTCACTGATAGCATGGTCAGTCCAGGGTTCAGAGAGGAATCTGGACAGAGTAAAGGGAGGAAAGGATATGGGCTTGGACCAGCAGACAGCAGGGGGAAAGGAAAAGAAGCAGTTAGGCCTTCTGTTGCCCACTTCTCCATTCTCAGCACTACGGCAGTCTTGGCAAGCAAAAGTGACAAATGGAGCCATTTAAGAGGTTACCATGTCCAAGTCTCCAGGAGGCCTTTGATTGCTCAAGTTTCTCACAGCCTCTTAGTGCACAATAAATCCACGGTAGTAAGCTCCCTCTGTCAGAGTGGGAGACCAAGTGGTGTCAATTTCCTTCAGTCGCCTGATACACTCCAACTCCAACCACGATGAGAACTGGCTGCCCGAGCACGCTAGCCCATTCCTGGTAGGCAACACTCTCCAAGGCAAATGTTACCCTTTCATAATACATGACAAGCCAGCTGGTGATGTCTGCCTCATCTCTAGGCCAAATGTCACTTCTTCTCCTGTTCACCGGGAGGGCACTGATCTCTTAACTCCATTCCTATTGCCAAGAACAGACCTTCCCTGGATCAGACCATTGCTTCGACAGATTTCTGCCTTTATGAGAGGCCCCGGAAAAGAGATGGCATAAAGGAAGCCATAGAGAAAGAGACAAAGTGACAAGTAGTGAGAGGAGGCAGAAAGCCAGCAAGAAAACCAAAATGCACACAAGCCAAGTGCATCTCTGCTGTGAAGGAGAGGAGACAGCCAACGGAGCGGAGGGCAGCAGGTGGATTGTCCGAAAAACACAAAAACCCTCTTTGGGTCGGCTTCATTAGCAGCTGCAGCCTATTCAATCACAGGGAAACAGCAGGAGAAACACTTGCCCCCTAATTTGATGAAAAAGTTGCCATATTAAATGCAGAATATCCAGTTCATTTGCATTTCAGATAAATCATTTTCTTCCTCTCTTTTTTTTAAGTATATACCTCAGACATACTCATTCCAGTTTTCTGGTTCTGGGCTTCAACTTAACTAGCTAGACTAGTTAGATCCCACACCCTATTTGACAAGCACAGATGTTCCACCAAGAAGGGAGCAAAGCAGGGCTGGATGTGCAGAGATCAGCCCGCACATGCAGCAATCGCCCGGATTTGAAGAAGAGACTTCTCAAAGCGGTTCTCAAAGTGTGATGAACAAACCAACCACATTGGCATCAACTGGGAACCTGTTAGAAATGCAAATTCTCTAGGCTCCAACCCAAAGATACACAACTTGAAATTGTAGCCGCAGGGCCAGCAATCCTCTGTAGCAAGGCCCCCCCAGATGATGTAGAAGAGAGCTCCAGACTGGGGGGGGGCAGCCATCTGCACATTTCAAAGCTTGACTGGTAGGTACTTTTCAGAAAGGTACCAAGGAGGTTGTGGTTACATCAAAAGACTACACATTAGTGCCACACACACACACACACACACACACACCTTACTGACCCTACAGAGAAACACCCTACTCCATGTTAGGCTTTGGTCTGAGCCAAGCAAAGGAATAATAGCATCTATTATCAGTGAAGCCCTCCTCTGGCCAGGCGATAAACACTGTCCAAGAGTGTCCCCAAATCTGTCTGTTCTAGAATTACTCCCACAGAATTCCCAGAACATTCTAATGGGG